AGTGTGTGTGAGGCTGGGCTTGAATTTGTCATCCTCCTACCTCAGCCTCCTGAGCACTGACATTGTCAGTTTACACCACCATACTAGGTCCTTTTTTTCCCTCATTAAAGGCACATTGCTACCAACAAGATAAACCCAAGTTAGCTTCATTTTGTTTATTTACTGTTATTGCAGGTTTATTCAACATGTAATAAAACTAAAGTATTAAGTATTTGTAGTGATAAATATTGTCTTATTCTGTTGTCTTCAAGTGGTGCTGCAGCTGTGCATCATACTGTGGTGAGTAGAGCTTTATAAATTGGAATTTTTCCTTTTTTTGTTTTTCAAGACAAGGTTTCTCTGTAGCTTTGGGACCTATCTTGGAACTAGCTCTTGTAGATCAGGCTGTATCAGAGACAGAGGTAAGAGGATTTCTCATAGTTCAAGGCCAACTTGACACATAGTAAGTTCCCAGCTGCCAGGCTACATAATGAGGCATTTAAAAGAGTTGGAAATAATTTTAATACTTTAGTCAAAGGTAGAAGGCATTTTGAATATTTTAGACTCTTTTGTGTTCTAGAATTTTGTTAAAGTCTTTTCTTCCCCCATGGGTGGAATATTTGTTTAACGTGTAAAGATGTGTTACATTTGTTTAATTATGTAAAGATGTGTTGCTATTTTACCTTGCCTGTCCAAGGCACCTGATTTGTCTAATAAAAACCAAAAAAAAAAAAAAAAAAGCTGAATGGCCAATAGCAAGGGAGTAGGTGTAGCCGGGACTTATGGGCAGGGAGAATAAGTAGGAGGAGGAATTTAGGCTTGGAAGAAAGGAAGAAAGAAAAGGAGATGATGGAAATGCAGGGGCCAGCCAGACATGGAAGAAACAGGAAAGTAGGACATACAGAATGAAAGAAAGGTAAAAAAAAAACAAAAAACCCTGAGGCAAAACGTAGAAGAATAGAAACAAGTTAAAATACGTTAAAAGAGCTAGTGGGAGAAGCCTAAGGTAAGGCTTGGAATTCATAATAATAAGTCTCCATGTGTTTATTTGGGAACTGCTTGGCAGCCCAAAGAAAATGCCAACCATGGAAAACAATAGCTATTAAAGGTGTTTTTTTGTTTTTATTTGTTTTTTTTAAAATTGTGCATATATGTAATGTGCATATGTGGGGAGGGTGAAGACACACGTGTGTGGAAGTCAGAACAGAGCTTTGTGGAATCCCTTCTCTCCCTTCACTTTACATGGATTCTAAGAACCCAGCTCAGATGGTCAGACTCTCCTGCAAGTGCTTTACCTTCTGAGTCATCGCTGTTTACTACCTGGAACTCGCACTCCCCTATCTCCATTATAGGCCATGTCCAGCTTATACCATGCTCCACGCTTGGGATGGTGATGTGGGAGTGTCATCTATCTATCTGTTGCTTTCATTGGTTAATTAATAAAGAAACTGTTTGGCCTTTGGTGGGTGGAGTAGACAGAACAGAATTCTGGGAGAAAGAAATCCGAGTCAGGCAGACGCCATAGCTTTCTTCTCCAAGATGAATGCAGGTTAAGATCTTCTGGTAAGCCACCACCTCATGGTGCTACACACATTATTAGAGATGGGTTAATCAAGATGTGAGAATTAGCCAGTAAGAGGCTAGAGCTAATGGGCCAAGCAGTGTTTAAAAGAATACAGTTTCCGTGTAATTATTTCGGGGCATAAGCTAGCCAGGCGGCCAGGAGCCGGGGTGGCAGGAACGCAGCCCACCACTCCTTCCTACTACAGGATGGAACTAGGGCTTCATGTATGTTAGACAAGTAGTCTACAAACTGAGCCATGTCTCTAGTTGGATTTCTTTCTTCATGGTTGTATAATAATCCATTGTGTGTATACATATATATGTACACATATCACATTTTCTTCATAGGTATGTTGATGAACATCTAATTTGATTTCATAATTTGACTATTGTGAATTGGGCTGTGATCTCTGTAGCATACTGACTTTGATTCTCTTGGGTATAGACCTAGAAGTGGTGGAATGGTATTGCTAGATCAGATGGTTTTTTTGGTTTTAGGTTTTTGAAAAACATCCAAACTAATTTCATATTGGCTGCACTAATTTACATTCCCATCAACAGTGTTGTCACATTAATTTGACAGAATTATACAAACATCTGTTCACTCCAGATAGAGTACCAGTGACAGACCAAAGAAGTGATTCTACCCATATCTAGGTTTGTGGACCAGTTAAACCATTGTGATTGCTTACTGGAACATAGGTGATGGATTGTGTGCATGAACATGAGCAACTTTCAGAGTGGCTATACCAGAGAAGAAAAGTGTTTCTTTTTTCTAAAAAGCCAGGAGAAAATTTATTTTATTTATGTTTTGCTAAGCTTTATTTTATGTGCATTGGTGTGAAGGTGTTACAGACAGTTGTGAACTGCCATGTGGGTGCAGGGAATTGAACCTGAGTCCTTTGGAAGAGTAGCCAGTGCTCTTAACTACTAAAATATCTTTCCAACCTTGAAAAGTGTTTCTTCCCCAGCAACTGTTGTATTAACTGCTTCTGTAACCTCAGGGAGGGGTGATGTCTTAAGTACCTGCCTTGTGAGTACCCCATCTACTTGAGGACTGTAATGGACCTAATGAAGTCTTGTGTAGGTGATTATAGTTCAAGACTGTAAGGGGTCATATCATGCCTGGGGGAATGTATAAGTGGGTGCAGGGATTAGTGGGGGACCCTTGCTAACATTTGTTGATAGCTTGGTGATAGTCATTCTGCGACGAGATAGGATCTCAGTGGACTTTTTTTTCTTTTTTTTTTCTCTCTCCCTGCTTCTCTTTCCCTTCCTTCTTTTTGTTGAGACTGTTTTATGTAGCCCAAGTTGACCTTGGAGTGTATAGCAAGGCTGGCCTTCCTGGTGCTTTCATCTCCTAAGTGCTGAATGACAAGTGTGTCCCAGCACCACATCCAGCTTCAGTGTAGTTCTGATATGTGTTTCCTTGATGACAAAGAAGCTTTAACATTTCCCCCATGTTTATGGGTTATTTGTACCTCTTATTTTGAAGTGTTCAATTCATTTGCCCATTTATTGATTAGATTATTTTTTGGTTTAATTTTGAATTCTTTATATATTCTGAGTCGTTAAAGAGCACAAACTTCTCTTCCAGAGGACCCCACTTTAGTTCCCAGCATCCATGTTGACAGCTTACACCTGCAACTCTGTTCTCGGGAGATTGGATACCTCTGGCCTTGGGGACATTTGCGTTTGTGTACATAAACATGTACACACATAATTACAATAGATCTTTAATTCCCCATAGAATGAATAGTTAGAAAAGATTTTCTCACATTCTGAGGGTTATCAGTTTTGTTTTGTGTGCAGAAGCTTTCAAATTTGATACAGTCCCATTAATTTTGCTGTTGTGTCCAGGGCCAATGGAGCCCTAGTTAGAAGGTCCTTGCCTATGTTTGCATTTTGAAGTCTTTTCCAACCTTTTTCTCCAGCAGTGTAGAGCTGCAGGTGCTGCATTAAGAGTTCTGATCCACTTTGGGCTGATTTGCTGAGCGGGATCTAGTTTAGATCTCCTTTATGTGCAAATCCTCTTTCCTCAGAGGCTCCACCCCCCCACATGTTTTTGGCACCTCTCTTAAATCAGGTGACCATAGTTGTGTGGGTTTATTTCTGGGTCATCTGTTTTATTCCGTTTCTCTGTGTGTCTGTGTTTGTGTCAGTACCATGTTATTTTTGCTATAATGGCTCTGGAGGATATTTTGAAGTGTGATGCTTCTAGCGTTGCTGTTTTTGTTCAGGATCACTTTGGTTTTTCTGAGACTTTGAGGCTTCCATATGATTTTAAGATTTTTCTTTCAAGTTTTGTGAAGAGTGAATGCCATTGGACTGTGGATGTTGATTACATTGACTCTGTAGATGGCTTTTGGTGGTGTGACTGTTTTAGCAATTCTCCTGATCTAGGAACATGAGAGGCTCTTCCATCTTTTAATAAATTCAGTTTTCTTCTTTTAATTAATTAATTTTTTACATACCAATCCCAGTTCTCCTGCTCCCTCCTTTAACCTACCCTACCTTAGTCCGCTCCTCAGAGAGGTTAAGGCCTCCTCTGGGAAGTCAGCTTCGTCTGTCTCATCTTGTTGAGGCAGAACTGAGGCCCTCCCACCCCTACCCCGTCCCTAGGCTGAGCAAGGTGTCTCTCCATAGAGAATGGTCTCCACAAAGTCAGTTCATGCATTAGAGTTAGATCCTGGTCCCACTGCCAGTGTCCCCATCTACTGCCCAAGCCACACCATTGTCTCCTGTATTGAGAGGGCCTAGTTCAATGCTATACAGGTTCTCCAGTTGTCAGTCAGGAGTTAGTGATCTCCCAGTAGTTCAGGTCGGCGGATTCTGTGCATTTCTCCACTGTGGTCTTGATCCCTTTGTTCATTCTATGGCTCCTTCCTCTCTTTGACTTGGAGCTTGGCCCAGTGGTTAGTTATGGATCTCCGGATCTGTTTCCATCTGTTTCTGGAAGAGGATTCTAACTTCTCTGAGGTTGTGGACTATAGACTGGTTATCCTTTGCTTTGTGCCTGAGATCCACTTAGGAGTGAGTAGATACTGTGCTTACCTTTCTGGGTCTGGGTTCCCTCACTCAGGATGTTTTTTTTTTCTTCTCCCCGCTGAGTAGTATCCATTGTGTAAATATACCACATTTTCTTTATCCATTCTTCGGTTGAGGGGCATCTAGGTTGTTTCCAGGTTCTGATTATTACAAATAATGCTGCTATGAATATAGTTGAGAACATGTCCTTGTGGTATAACTGAGCATCCTTTGGGTATATGCCCAAGAGTGGTATTGCTGGGTCTTGAGGTAGGTTGATTCCACATTTCCTGAGAAATTGCCATACTGATTTCCAAAGTAGATTGATGGAGGAAGGTCATTGGTTAAATAAAAAGAAACTGCTTGACCCTCATTGGTTAGAAGATAGGTGGGGGCTTTGCAGACGCCGCTGTCCCCTCTCACCGCTTGCTGCAGCCATGGTCAACCCCACCATGTTCTTCGACATCGCAGCCGATGGCGAGCCCTTGGGCCGCGTCTCCTTCGAGCTGTTTGCAGACAAAGTTCCAAAGACAGCAGAAAACTTTCGTGCTCTGAGTACTGGAGAGAAAGGATTTGGATATAAGGGTTCTTCCTTTCACAGGATTATTCCAGGATTCATGTGCCAGGGTGGTGACTTCACACGCCATAATGGCACTGGCGGCAGATCCATCTACGGAGAAAAATTTGAGGATGAGAACTTCATCCTGAAGCATACAGGTCCTGGCATCTTGTCCATGGCAAATGCTGGACCAAACTCAAACGGTTCCCAGTTTTTTATCTGCACCACCAAGACTGAGTGGCTGGATGGCAAATATGTGGTCTTTGGGAAGGTGAGAGAAGGCATGAACATTGTGGAAGCCATGGAGCGTTTTGGGTCCAGGAATGGCAAGACCAGCAAGAAGATCACCATTTCCGACTGTGGACAACTCTAATTCTTTTGACTTGGGGGCTTCTTACCCACCAGACCATTCCTTCTGTAGCTCAGGAAAGCACCCCAGCCCCATCTGCTCGCAGTACCCTGTAATCTCTGCTCTCACTGAAGTTCTTTGGGTTCCATATTTTCCTTATTCCCCTTCAAGTCTAGCTGGATTGCAGAGTTAAGTTTATGATTATGAATAAAAACTAAGAACTGAAAAAAAAAGAAGATAGGTGGGAGGAGTAAACAGAACAGAACGCTGGGAGGAAGAGGAAGTGAGCTCAGACTCCACAGCTCTCCTCTCGGGAGCAGAGAGACGCCATGTTCCCAGCTCCCAGGCAGAGGCATGCAATGACGCTCCCACCCAGGATGGACATAGGCTAGAATCTTCCCTGTAAGCGCACCTAGGGGCGCTACACAGATGATTAGAAATGGGCTAAATTAATATGTGAGAATTAGCCTAGAAGAGGCTAGATAGAAATGGGCCAAGCAGTGATTAAATGAATACAGTTTGTGTGTTGTTATTTCGGGCATGAGCTAGCCAGGCAGCCGGGGTGCTGGGGACGCAGCCCCGCCGCTCCTATTACTGCAGTGGATATACAATTGCACTCTCACCAGCAATGGAGGAGTGCTCCCCTTATTCTACATCATAAGCTGTTATCAGTGCTTTTGTTCTTAGCCATTCTGATCAGTGTAAGATGGTATCAGAGTTGTTTTGATTTGCATTTCCCTGATGTCTAAGGAGGTTGAACATTTTCTTTAGTGCTTTCAGCCATTTGAGATTCTTTTATTGAGAATTCTCTGTTTAGATCTGTACCCCTCTTTTTTTTTTCCCTTTGGTTTTTTGAGACAGGATTTCTCTGTGGGGCAGTCCTGAGTGTCCTGGAACTCACTCTGTAGACAGGTTGGCCTTGAACTCACAGAGATTCACCTGCCTCTGCCTCCCAAGTGCTGGGATTAAAGGTATGCATCACTACCACTTGGCCAGTACCCCATTTTTAAATTAGATTATTTGGTAGTTTGATGTATAGTTTCTTGAGTTCTTTGTATATTTTGAAGATCGGACCCCTGTCAGATGTGGGGTTAGTGAAGATCTTTTCCTATTCTGTAGGCAGCATTTTTGTCTTGTTGACCATGTCCTTTGCTTTACAGAAGCTTTTCAGTTTCAGGAGGTCCCATTTATTCATTGTTTCTCTCAGTGTCTGTGCTGCTTGGGTTCTATTTAGGAAGTGGTTCCTTGTGCCAATGCGTTCAAGTGTACTTCCCACTTTCTCTTCTATAAGGTTTAGTGTGGCTGGCTTTATTTTGAGATTTTTGATCTATTTGGACTTGAGTTTTGTGCATGGCGATAGATATGGGTCTATTTTCATTCTTCTACATGTTGATATCCAATTATGCCAGCACCACTTGTTAAATATGCTTTCTTTTTTCCATTTGATATTTTTTGCTTCTTTATCAAAGATCAGGTGTTCAAAGATGTGTGGATTGATATCCGGGTCTTCTATTCGGTTCCATTGGTCCTCCTGTCTGTTTTAATGCCAATACCAGGCTGTTATCAGTGTTGTAGCTCTGTAGTAGAGTTTGAAGTCAGGGATTGTGATGCCTCCAGAATTCTTTTATTACACAGGATTGTTTTGGCTATCCTGGGTTGTTGCAGGAGGTCCTCCCACTCCTCCAACCTATAGCTGCTGAGATACCAGCCCATTGGGGCGTGGTCTCTCTCCCTTTAAAAAAGCGGCCACTTCCCTCTCCTCTCTCTCTTCACTTCCTGCTCCGCAGGCAACTAGACTCCCTTCCTGGTTGCGTAGAGGGCTGTTGCCTGGGACAGTGATCTGTAAGTTTTTTCCCCTTTAAATAAATACCACCCTATTAATCATAATTCCAAACTGATGTGGCATTGTTTGTGACTTACGCCTTCACTGGGTTTTTTGATTCTCCATATGAAATTTAGTATTGTTCTTCGTGAAGAATTGTGCTGGGATTTTGATGAGTGTTGCATTGAGTTGTGGATTGCGTTTGCTAAGATTGTCATTTTTACTGTGTTAATCCTACCTATCCATGAACATGGGAGATCTTTCCCCTTTCTGGTGTCTTCTTCAGTTTTGTTATTCAAAGATTTAAAATTCTTTCCCTTATTTGGTTAGAGTTACCCTAAGATATTTTATGCTGTTTGTGGCTATTGTGTTTCTCTGATTTCTTTCTCAGCCCATTTATCATCTGTGTAAAGGAGGGCTACTTTTTTTTTTTTAAATCTTGTATCCTGCCACATTATTAAAGGTGTTTATCAGCTATCAGAGTTCCCTGGTGGTATTTTTGTAGTCACTTATGTATACTAGCATATCACCAACAAATAATGAGAGTTTGACTTCTTCCAATTTGTACTTCCTTGATCTCCTTTGTTGTCTTATTGCTCTAGTTACGACTTTGAATACTTCATTGAATAGGTATAGAGAGTGGACAGCCTTGTCTTGTTCCTGATTTTAGTGGAATCACTTGGAGTTTCTCTCTATTTAGTTTGATGTTGGTTGTTGGTTTGCTATATATTGCCTTTATTATGTTTAGGAATGTTTTATGTATCCCTGATCTCACCAAGACTGATCTTGCCAAGATCTTCATCATGAAGGGATGTTGGTTTTTGTCAAAGGCTTTTTCAGTATCTGATGAAATGATCAGGTGTTTTTTTTCTTTCAGTTTGTTTATATGGTAGATTATATTGATGAATTTTCGTATGTTGAACCATCCCTGCATCCCTGGGATGAAGCCGGCTTGATCATGGTAGATGATGATTCGGTTTGCCAGTATTTTATTGAGTATTTTTGCATCAATGTTCATGAATGAGATTGGTCTGTAATTCTCTTTCTCTTTGCATTTTTGTGTGGTTTGAGTATCAGGGTAACTGTAGCCTCTTAAAAAGAGTTTGGCAGTGTTCCCTCTGCTTCTAGTGACTATAGTCAGTTACCCACAGTCAACATGAATGAGGAGAAACCGAAAGTGTTCCTAGTCTAAGACAAGAAGGGGCCAACACTCACCATTGTTATTCAGTATAGTGCTTGAAATCTTGGCCAAAAACCAGGGGAAAGAAAAAAAAAACAAGATAAATTAAGAAAGCAAGACTTATCCCTGTTTGCAGATGATATGATTCTATACTTAGAAGGCCTAAAATCTCCACAGTAAGACTCTTGGCGATTATCAACACTTTTACCAAAGCAGCAGGATACAAAATCAGTGGCTTTTCTATTCACTAACAATAAATTTGCTGAGAAAATTAAACAATCTTGTTCACAATAGCCTTTTCTAAAAATATCACTAAGAAATACCTGACATAACTAACTTATAAAGAGAACAACTTTATTTTGGCTTGTAGTTTTGGTCTATGATCACTTGGCTTTGTGAGTTGGGGACAGGCCTATGACAAGGCAGTTCCTAAAAGGTAGGAAGCTATGCTAGAACACATGGTTTATTTTGTGGTAGCTTGGAAGCAGAGACAGAAAGTGACTTGGGTGCCACAGTCACTTTTGAGAGCCCACCCCTATGACCTAATCTCCTTCCATTAGGCTCAATCTCTTAAATGTTTTGCTACTTCCCAGAAGTGCCAAAGGCCAGGGACCAAATCTTCTGCTCCATGGGCCTTTGTGGAGATGGACTTCAGGTCCTGGAGAGACGGCTCAGTAATTAAGAGTGTTGCTGCTCTTTCAGGGGACCCAAGTTTGTGTCCCAACACCTATATTAGGTGATTCTCATGTGTCTGTAATTCCAGCTCCAGGGGATCCAGCTCCTCTCACCTCTGAGGGTGCCTGTATTCCCATTCACATGCCCACATGCAGACATACACACCTACACATAATTAAAAGTAATAAAAATATTTTTTAAAGACCCAAGCTACAGCAGCAGTTAGCAATCCCTGCTAGTGTATTTCTGTTTTTCCCCATGGTGGTACATTACTAGCCCATAGCTGTTCTGGACAGGTAATTCTGGGAACAGTGGTGCTTTTCTTCCCTGTGAGAGTCCTTCTCATTCTAAGTGCTCTCGTTTTTCCATGGCTGCCTTTCTGACATTTATTTTGTGTTCTAGCAAGTTTATTTGAAGGTAGACAAAAGTGTGTTAGAAAGTTGTACTTGAGACAAAGAAAGTCTCAACTATACTCAAAACTTGAGTTTACGGAAATTCTAAAAGCATTCTGAGCAAAATAAATGTGGATCTGAGCAGTATACTAGTTACTTTTCCTGTTGTCACCAAATACTCTGATAAAAATAGCCTATGGGGGAAAGTGGTTTTGATTCATGGTTTATAGGTATGGTCTGTCTTGGTAGGAAGGTCATGGCCGTGGGAGGTTGGGAGAACTGGTCCTATTCACCCACTGTTGGTAAACAGCTCCCTCCATTTACACAGTTCACAACCCTATGTTTCAGGGAAGCTGCTGGTCATTCCTGTCCGCCCAGAACCAAAATAATCACACAGAAACTGTATTAATTAAATCACTGCTTAGATCATTAGCTCTAGCTTCTTATCGGGTAGCTCTTACATCTTAATTTAACCCATGTCTATTAATCTGTATGTCACCACGAGGTTGTGGCCTACCAGCAAAGTTCTGGCATGTCTGACTCTGGCAGCAGCTCCATAGCATCTCATCTCTCTGACTCCACCCTTCTTTGTCCCAGCATTGAGTCCAGTTTTCTCCGCCTACCTAAGTTCTGCCCTATCAACAGGCCAAGGCAGTTTCTTTATTCATTAATGGTAATCACAGCACACAGAGGGGACTCCCACATCACCTCACCTTTTCTGTTTAAATAATAAAAGAAGGTTTTAACTTTAACATAGTAAAATTACATATAATAAAACAGGTATCAGGCAAGAATTACAATTACAATATTTATGTCTACTTTATCTTTTATCCTAAGGAAAACTATAACTATAAATTCTTCAACTCCCATCAAAGACTCCAGAAGGATATAATATTACTTAAGTTAACAGGAAGTGCATTGTAAGCAACTTCCAAAATTCTAAAATTGACAGAGACATCTTACTGCCTGGACAGGCACCCAAAGTTCTTCTATACCATTGGGGCATCCATCTTTAGCCTACAGGCCCATAGTATCCAGCAGAATTTTCCATGAAACAGGAAATTTCAAAGACAGTTCCCCCACTTTCTTCTGTATCCTGAAGAATGTTTAGCAGACTCTTTCATGAAGCAGGAACCTCGAAGGATCATTTCACTTTTAGGCAAATTTAGCAGTCATTTCTCTTTGGGTTCTGCATGTCCAGATTTTGCAGCATACCATGAAGCAGTCCAGGGAAGAGCAGTTTCTTGCCCAAAGTTTCTAACCAACTCCATAAGGAGTCTTTTCAATGCCCATCATCCTCTTGAAGTCGATCGGTGCTGCCAGGGGCAGATATGTCTCACTGTCATGAAAAGTCCTAATTTCTTAAAATATTTAAATGCCATATTCTGAAGGTCTCGGAAAGATTTGAAGAATACCTATCTAACTGAAATATATCTCCATACATTCAGAAAATCCAACTAACATGACTACAAGCTTGACCATTATAGATGATTATCCATTAACTTATATTTCTTAATTATACATTACACTTTTAAATGACCTACACAAACATAATACCTTAATCAAGATCAGAAATACATATACATATAACAAAATTGACCTTAAATTTGTATCATTAAACCAAGATCCATATCAATGCAAATCTATATAGCATATCCCCCTTTATATGTAAACAAACATTTATAAACAGTATTTGGGAATATGGGTGTAGTTTTTCTCCAAACTACTTCCTGCTGTTTATTGGGCAAAGTAATTTTCTTTGTGATTATTTTTGGGGTGTTTATGGCGACCTTTCAGGGGGCCTTGGTCCAAAAACAAGTAGTCTGGAAACAATCCACAGGTTCTTATCTTCTGTGAAAACAAAAGAAGAACCTTTTTTTCAAAACAACATATCCTTAGACTCAAATTTTGAAATCAAGATACCTTTATGTTGGTTTAACTTAGCAGTCCATACAATGAAATGTCTCTCTTTACTTAACTCATTCATAGTAAAAAAATTCAAAGATAACACAATAACATACATAATCTAGATTCTCTGTCAACTTTCCATTTTTATGTGCCTTATTCTTTGTTTATTTCTTTTAATCTATGACTGTCTGTACTCTCTCTTTAAAGACTTTTTTTTAAACGATTTACTTCTTTTCCAACTCTCTATACTCTTTTTCTTCTCCCTCCCAAGCCTACGTATATTTATCCAATAGTTTGACCCATTTTTAGTTTTTTTTTTAAATCTGGAATTGTCTTTATTGCATATCTGTAATTATTTTCTGACCAGAAGCACTTCTTGTTCTTCTTTTTTTTTTTTTGGTTTTTCGAGACAGGGTTTCTATGTGGCTTTGGAGCCTGTCCTGGCACTAGCTCTATAGACCAGGCTGGTCTCGAACTCACAGAGATCCGCCTGCCTCTGCCTCCCGAGTGCTGGGATTAAAGGCGTGCGCCACCACCGCCCGGCTCAGAAGCACTTCTTAAATGCTTAAGAATCTGAGCTGCAACATCACTAGGTCAAATAAGGTACTGTTTGCTTGCCCTACACAGTCTGGCATGGTGGAGCTGCTCACCGCCTCTGAGAGACATGCACAGTGCCCCATCTCTAGGCACACAGCCAGTCCATGTTGCCATTAAGCAAGCTACAACAGTCTGCTCACAAATCCCCACTCAAGTGCTCCGCCTCCCAGATGGCTTGCTGGCAGCATAGCCCAGAAAGCCGGCATTTTAAAACGGCCGTGGCTTTTTTCCTGCTGCAGCTGAATCAGGAAAATCTCTCTTAAAAGAACTGCCGCAAGCCACCAGCAAACAGCAAGATGCTGTGTTAAACTCTGTAATTTTTTTTTTTTTTTTGTCTAGAATTCCTTTTCAAGCCCTCTCAGGTTTTATGTGGATTTAGTAGGCCATGTGGGCACCAATTTGTTGCAGGGGAGCTGCTTGGTCGCTTCCATCTGCCCAGATCCGAAATAATCACACAGAAACTGTATTAATTAAATCACTACTTGGCCCATTACCTCTGGCTTCTTATTGGCTAACTCTTACATCTTAATTTAACCCATGTCTATTAATCTATGTCACCACGAGGTTGTGGCTTACCAGCAAAGTTCCAGTTTCTTTATTCATTAATGGTAATCACAGCACACAGAGGGGACTCCCACATCAATCCTAGGGAAAGTTGTTAAGCTCAGGGAGTAGGTTCTTCACCCCAGTTAGCCTAACCAAGATAGGCCCTCATGGGCATGGTCAAAAGCTTGTTGTTTTCAGTTGATTGAGGACTTAAGTTGACAGTTAAGGTTGACCACCAATAGTAACTGCTAGGGTTAGTCTAGTTCTTTGTACTGTGAAAGACTTTATAAACAACAGGGCAACCCGACAAGTTGTACAATACGATGTTTCCACAACAAGTGGAGGGAAAAAAATCCCAATATTTTGGAGGCTTCTTTTAACGTGGTAGTGTTTTAAGAGAACTGAGAGCCAATTAAATTGCTTCTGGATACTACCTAAGGGATTTACAGGGGCCTCTTCTTCATTGACTCCTCCAGTTTTTATGCTAGCTGCACTGGGCTCTCTAGGACTAGACTTTAGTGAGCTGAGTACCTTAATCTCATACAGAAATTCATGCAACACTTGCTAAGGAGCTATGTTGGGAAGCATTGGTCTAGGAGGTTTAAAGAGTGCAGAGTTGAGGAAGTTCTTTCCCTTGAGAAGTTTACAGGCCTAGGAGAGGATGTGACACAAAAGAACTTATGATTGAAGTGATGTCAGAAGGGGACAGCATTTACTCTGGAAGATGTTGACCAAGGTATGGGCTACCATCTTTGTAGGATGTTGTTTTGAGAAACAGTTATTGTCAGAGTACAACCTACAGAGTTAATTGGTCTGAGGATACTCAGATATTATATTGTTAGTATAGAAATTACTAGTAGGCTTAAATATTTAAAGATTTTTATATTGCTTTGAGACAAGATTGGACTTCAGACTTGCTGTGCATCCAGGGATGACTTAGGACTTCTGCTCTTCCTGCCAGCTCCTTCTAAAGTACTAGGCTTATAGGTATACACAACTGTACCAGGCAAAATATTTCGGGTTCCGATGGAGCAAGTGAGTTTTAATAAGGAAGTATTTTGACATTTTCTTTTAAAATAACTTACTAAGCCTTGAGCGTTTGTAATTGTTAATTTTTGTGAGGTCCCTACCCGTTCTCCCTCCTTGAAAGTAGCAGCATTCAGAGCCATTTTGGGGCAGTTAGACTGAGAACTGTGGGTGGGTGGTTCCACAGTGACTTCCTGGGACATGAGGGATGTGGGTAACTGTTAGCATGGGGCTGTGAACAGAAACAGTGCAGCAAGATTACACTGTGTGATAAACGGGCCGGCAAAATCTCTGTTCTCTCCGACTGCTGAGGAGAGTTGTGTGGAGTGCTTACAGATTAGTTAGTTGCTGTTTGTTTTTTTTTGGTTTTTCGAGACAGAGTTTCTCTGTGGTTTTGGAGCCTGTCCTGGAACTAGCTCTGTAGACCAGGCTGGTCTCGAACTCAGAGATCCGCCTGCCTCTGCCTCCCGAGTGCTGGGATTAAAGGCCTGCGCCACCACCACCCGGCTTCAGTTGCTGTTTTAATTCATGTTCTGGGTATTTTAAAGCATTTTTCTTTTCTGGAATAATAAAATATTTTTATTAATTTTTAAAATGAATTTGACTGCAGTAGAATGGAAGAAAAAGGACCAAAAAATTTAATTCCTATGTTACTGGAGAATGCTGGCAGAGTACCAAGTTTTAGAAGAGACGACGTACCCTTTATTAACAGTATACTCTTTTTCTGTTTATACTTTCAAGGTACTTATTTAAAATTAAACATTATCTTGGCAATTTGATTTCTCAGGTAGAGTTTATAGTGTTAATATTTTGCTAGAAATTTAATTTTGCTTTAATTAAAAACTTAATGCTTTCTTTAAAATTTTTAAGTCATATATTTTTATTTAGTTAGTTTTTTCGAGACATGGTTTCTCTATGTAGCAGCCCTGGCTGACATGGAACTCGCTTTGTAGTCCAGGCTGGCCTTGAACTCAGAAACCCACCTGCCTCTCCTCGTACCACCATACTTGGCTATTTATTTATTTGTATGTGTGTGCAGGCAAGTAAAATAAAAAAAAAATATCAAGGCGAGCAAGGCATAGGGAAGAAGACAGTAAACAGCATTCTTCCATGGCCTTTACTTCACTTCCCACCTCCAGGCTCTGGTCTGACTTCCTCAGTAATGGGGTGTTACCTGAAAGTTGTAAGCTGAACTAAATTCCTTCCTTCCTCAAGTTGATTTTGGTTAGTATTTTCTCACAACAACAGGCAAGCTATGACTCCTCCCTTTCCCCCAGTTTGCCTGGAATTGCTAACTTGCTATGTAGAACAAGCTGGCTTTAAAAACATAGAGATCTGCCTGCCTTTGCCTCTTTAGAATTCAAGGTATGTGTGTTGGGACCAAACTTGGGTCCTCTACAAGAACAGTAAATGCTTTTAACCACTGAGCCATCTCCCCAGTTCCTTATTTATTTATTGTGCATGTTTTTTGCATATATATATATGTGTGTGTGTGTGTGTGTGTCATGGTATCCACGTGGAAGTCAGAGGATAACTTTTGGGAGCTGGCTTTGTCTTTCCATGTGAGTTCCAGGATTGAACTCAGGTTGCTAGGTTGGGTAGCAAGTATTCTTACCTATTCAGCCATCTCTAGCCTTATATAGAAATTTCTCTTGTTTGAATTCCAGATTCTGGGACCAGCTCTTGGATTTCTAAGGATCAGAATTTGCTGAGCATCCTCATTGTTACCACTTTGGTTTCAGTTGTTATTCAAGCTCATTTGTCTGTTTCCTGTCTTCTGCCCTTGTCCTGTACCATCTGTTGCTGATACAGCAGGACTCCAGTAATAGGTGAGTTGCATCATGTTGCTCCTCTATTCAGAATCTGCTTCCCTCCCGACTTTGTAGTTTCCCCATTAACTAATGTCACCACAGATGACATCTGCTATATCCAGTCTGTGTAGGGGACTCCTTCATTAGGGTCTTTACACATGTTTTGCCTTCTGCTGGAATATTCTTTATATAGAGGTGAATGTGATTAGCTTTCTTGCTGCCTTGGATTCCCCCCCTCCCCCGAAATGATCTTAGTACAACTAAATTTCACCCTTTTCCAATATTTCATATTACTTATTTATTTTGTGTACTATTTTTTCCCTTGCTAGACTATATTTTTATCCTGTCTCTCTCTCTCTCTCTCTCTCTCTCTCTCTCTCTCTCTCTCTTTCTTTTTTGAGGCAGGGTTTCTATGTGTAAGCCTGTGTCTGCCTCTGCCTCCTGAGTGCTGGGATTAAAGGCGTACACCACCACTGTCCAACTCTAGACTATATGTTTTTATAGGACAAAGTTTTGTCTGTGTTTTTTCCTGGTCTTCAGACTAGAGGATGGTCTGGCCTATTGTAATATTCAGTAAAGATTTGTTGAAAGTTTTTTTATTTTTTTGTGTTGTGTATGTATGTTTTAATAGCATGAAAACTATACAAATACTGATTTTGATGGACTGTTGTCTTAGTTTGCTTTTGTTGCTGTCATAAAACACATGACCAAAAGCAAACTGGGAGGGGATGGTTTATCTGGCTAACAGGTTATACTCTATCATCAAGGGTGACGAAGGTAGGAACTAAAGGCAGTAAACTAAGAACCACCTATTAATCTTAAATATTTTATATTGGTATGACGTTTTATATATTGATACAAACTTAAGGTTATTTTTATTACTTAATATGTGTTCCTACTTTTGTTTAAGATATTTTTTGTATATTGATACAAATTTAAGGTAATTTTTGTTATGTAGACACACATTTCTACTTTTATTTAAGGTATTGTAGCTATGCAGCTCATTTAAAACTATAATGTACATTTCTAGTCTTTGAAAGTTATTATTACAAACTATTTAGGATAATTAACAAATACAGGTTAGTAGTCATCTAACAGTCAGATTTTTGGCCGTGTTAGGTATGTTTTCAAGGCCAAGCACATATATTTTAGATAGACAGATGGTTTTCAAATATATCAGATATCTATAGAATATAGCATTCAAGATGTCTTAATAACCTAAGGCTTTTCATGACAGTAAGACCTGTCTGCTCCTCGCAGTGCTAATTTACTTAAAAAAAAAAAAAGGATGATGGGCATCAGAGAACTTGCACATGGCGTTTGCTCTTATTGTGTCAGTGGCATTGTCAGCCACTGAGCAAGAAACTGCCCTTGCCTTGACTGCCGACACTGTACTGTCCAAACTGGACAAATAGACACAAGAGAAAGAGACTGCTGAGCTTTGCCAAGAGAAGGTAGGACAGGTCTTCAAAAGTTCCTGCTTCACAAAAAAGTCTGTCAGATAGTCTAGGATTGTAGGCCAAAGGAAGATGCCCCAGTGTTGCAGAGGAACTTTGGGTGACTGTCCAGGAAACCAGCTGTTTTTGTTGTTCCTGTAGTTTTAGAAGTTGTTTGTTCTATACTATCTGCTTACTCAGGTAATATTATATTCTTCCTAGCTTGTTGATAGGGTTAAAGACTAGATAGTTATAGTTAAAATTTTCCTTGGTACTAAATTCAGAAAAAAAAAAAAACTTATATAAACTTAAGGGTATTTCCCGGGTAGGGAAATTCCATTGTCTTACGGAAATCCTAACTTAATAAAACCTACAAAAACTAAAACAAACAGACAAAAAAAACTTATATAAGAGATGTAAAGTTTATAATGCTGAGAAACATAAAAGCTTAAGTTGTTTATCTAAAAAGATGTTTTTAGGTCTAGAAAGATATTTTTAGGATGGTTTTACAAGTTATGATATAAAATGGTTCAGGTACAAAGGTTGGAACTCATCAAGATAGGATAGATAATGCAATATTTTCTTTGAATTTGCCAATATTAAAGTACTAAACATTATGAATGTATTTCTTATTGATAATTGTTTAATATATATGTATATAGTTTTACAGTGTTAGAGTTAAAACTTTCCCTTTTTATTTAGACAAAAAGTGGGATATATTGTGGGATATTTGTACACTGTGAAGATAATACAGTGTTACTGTGATTATTGTAATAAAAAGCTAAATGGCCAATAGCTAGGCAGAAGAGATGGGCAGGACTTCCAAGCAGAGAGAAGAGATCATTTAGGCATGCCAGGGATGCCAGTGTGACTTGGAAGAAGCAGATGTGCAGGAGAAGAGGTAATAGCCATGGCAGGACATAGATTAATAGAAGTGGGTTAATTCAAGTTAGATGAATTATTGGGAACAAGCCCAAGCTATAAGTTGAACCTTCATAATTAATAAGTCTCCATGTAGGGTACTGGAGAGATGGCTCAGCGGTTAAGAGCACTGGCTGCTCTTCCAGAGGTCCTGAGTTCAATTCCCAGCAACCACATGGTGGCTCATAGCCATCTGTACTGAGATCTGGCACCCTCCTCTGGCGTGTGGGCATACATCGAGGCAGAATGTTGTATACATAATAAATCCTCTGGCCTTTGAGTTATCTTTCTTACACATCTGCCTGGGGGATAGCATTGCTTGTGGTGGACCTTCTTGTGTCAACTGGCAGTTAAGAAAACACCTTGTAGACACAGGCCAGTCTGATGAAGATAATTTCTCAGTTAATATTTCCTGTTCCCAGGTATGTCTAGGTTTGTGTCAAGTTGACAAAAATTCGTCTCCGCAATATTAAGTTTACACATAGCCAGAAAACAGCTTCAGGTGCTTTGATCTAAAGGAGATAAGTAGTTTTAGGAACTTGTCAGGAAATGAAATGTTGAAGGAGTAGCGAGGAAAAGCTGTCTGTAACCTATCTCTCACGAAGCCTGTTTCCACCAGTGCTGTAGGAGCCTGTGCTTTCGCTCATGCTACACTGATGATGTGTCAGAATGAGACAGTCTGAAGGGTGGGTGCGATGCTGAATACTAACATTTATTATGTAGCTATGGTGGTCTAAATGAAAATGGCGCCCATAGACTCATAGGGAGTGGTGTTATTGGAGGTTTGTCCTTGTTGGAGGAAGTGTGTCATTGAGCTCAAGCCAGGCCTAGTGGTTCACTTTCTCTTCCTATTGCCTGTGGATCCAGGTGGAGAACTCTCAGGTACCTCTCCAGCACTGTGTCTTGCCTGCATGCCACCTTGTTTCCTAGTGTGACAATAATGGACTAAACCTTTGAACAGTAAGCCAGCCCCAAATAAATGTTATCCTTTATAAGAGTTGCCATGGTCATGGTGTCTCATCACAACAATAAAACCCTAATACAATCTCATATAGAAAATATTTAATTTTATATGTAGAAAAAGCTTAGATATAGGATAGATTAAGCTGAGTGTGGACTGTGACACCAAATACTACCTCTAGGGTAGTATCTTAGATAGTGCCTAAAGCATAAGAAAGCCAAGGACTCATCTTAGTTTAGCCCAGTCACTTCTCTGTGTCTGTGTCTTGACCACAAGCTGAGACAAGCCTCTAGAACTGGCAGCTAATGGGAAACAGGTCTTCACTGTGGTTATGATCTCAGTGTGATTAGTGCTTATCTCCTGGAGTTGAGTAAATCTGTGTTTAGGTCCAGTGATGTCCCAGATTACATGTTAGTTTAGATATCAAACCAACGTCTCTTTAGAGCGTGGTTAGGGACCGTTTGTCACAAGTCTGGGATGCTACAGGGTTGTTTGTTTTTTGTTTTTGTTTTTGTTTTTGTTTTTCAAGACAAGGTTTCTCTGTAGCTTTGGAGCCTGTCCAGGAACTAGCTCTTGTAGACCAGGCTGGCCGTGAACTTATAGAGATCCACCTGCCTCTGCCTCCTGAGTGCTGGGATTAAAGGTGTGCACTATCACTGCCCGGTCCTGTGTGGCAGTTTTTATTTAATGCTCCCCCCCCCACTCTGTCATTGCTACCTCTTCACTACTCTACGACTTACTGCCAGGGTTGAGGTCTCTTGTCTTTTATTTTTTTACTTTATGACTAAGTACACTAAAATCTAGATGTATTTAATTGCCAGTCACATTTATTTGTGGTGCTCATCATGATTTATGATATGAATCTGTTTATTAACTACTTTAAAAAGTTGGTGATTGCCAGATGATGGTGGCACACACCTTCAATCTCAACATTCAGGAGGTAGGGGCAGGTGGATCTCTGGTGTAGGAGGTCCTTCTGTTTATGTGTTGCTTTCATTGGTTGAATAAAGAAACTGCCTTGGCCTTTTGATAGGGCAGAACTTAGGCAGGCATGGAGAAGACAGAAAACAGCTTCAGGTGCTTCAGGTGCTTTGATCTAAAGGAGATAAGTAGTTTTAGGAACTTGTCAGGAAATGAAATGTTGAAGGAGTAGCGAGGAAAAGCTGTCTGTAACCTATCTCTCACGAAGCCTGTTTCCACCAGTGCTGTAGGAGCCTGTGCTTTCGCTCATGCTACACTGATGATGTGTCAGAATGAGACAGTCTGAAGGGTGGGTGCGATGCTGAATACTAACATTTATTATGTAGCTATGGTGGTCTAAATGAAAATGGCGCCCATAGACTCATAGGGAGTGGTGTTATTGGAGGTTTGTCCTTGTTGGAGGAAGTGTGTCATTGAGCTCAAGCCAGGCCTAGTGGTTCACTTTCTCTTCCTATTGCCTGTGGATCCAGGTGGAGAACTCTGGGAATGAATGCTGGGAAGAAGGGCAGACAAGCAGACACCATGGAGCTCCTGCTGGTTAGAATCTTGCTGGTAAGCCACAGTCATGTGGCAATACACAGATTTAATAGAAATAGGTTAAATCAAGATATAAGAGTTAGCCAATAAGAAGTTAGAGCTAATGGGCCAGGCAGTGTTTAAATGAATACAGTTTCTGTGTGATTATTGAACAAAGGGCCCCTGCTCCATGTAACAGATCT